GATAAGCAGAAACTAAGGGAATTTGTTAAAACCAGACCAACCTTACAAGAGATGCTAAAGGAAGCCCTTTGGACAGAGAAGCAACAATAGCCAACAACAACTGACCATTAACACACATGATGATATAACCCAGAAACCAACCCAGCTATGGAAGTATCCAAAGAAAATTAAAACAAGTCTATGAGAGCCAAAACATGACCTTGAGTATATCCCACCTGAATTTAGACACCATCTTAAGAATAGGGGACTTCCAGTAAGATGGAGGAATAGTCAGACAAGCAATACAGACCCTCTTCAATAAAGAAAAGAAAAACCAATTGACAGAGATATAGAATATAATCCTGGAGTCCTGAGCTTTGAAAGGAACTATACAGAAGTGGATTAGGCACCAACTAGTGGCAAAACCTAAACAAAAACAGTGAGTACAGAGACAGTCAGAGCTGCAGACTGTCAGCTACTCTGACGGGACCAACAGCTTGAATATTTCCAAGTGGTGTTGGGACCTGAGAATTGACCTAAAGATCAGCCCTGGTCACCAAGGACGACTGCACTGGTAGCCTATGACTATGAAAGAAAACAGCAAGGAGGGAGACAACCTAAGCTGTTGACTTTCTGCTGTCTGAAGGGTGCAGCCATTTTGGATATTTTAAGTGACTGAGGGCGCAGCCATTTTGAATGTTTACAAGTGGTGGCCATCTTAGATATTTAAATACTGAGGGCACAGCCATTTTGAATCTTTGCAAGTGATAACCATTTGTGATTTTAAAGTGATAGCATTCTCATTTGGATTCTAGGGACCTAAGAATAGGCTCTGTTTGCCAAGGTCAGCAGGGACATACAAGAGGCTGACAACAGGAAAGGAGACAGGTGGTGTGTGTCAACTGGTGCATAGAGGAGCATAGCACAGTACCCTGCTTGCATAGATAACATACAAACAAAACAAAGAAAATGAAAATTGTGGGCAAGTCACTCCAACATAAAATCACCAATAAAATACAAATGCAAAAATGTCACAATGCCTCAGAGACAACAGAGCATCACAGTCCACACAAAGAAGCAAGATAAAGCAGGAGAAACAAGGGACCAGGATACAGACCCAAAACACATCCCCAAGGAAGTGGCAGCATTGGAACTCTCTGATAAGGGATTCAAAGAATTATATTTAGGTATC